TCTTATTTTATATGCTAGCTTGTCAATACTGGTAATTTGAGTTCCTAATTTGTATGAAACTACAGACTTAGTATTTTGACATCACCAACATCTAATTTGAACCAGTGCTGCATTCAACATACTAAGTGACACACAAAAATCGATGTTTAACTGTGTTTTTTTTATATTTACTTTTAAATTATGAAACTGAGTAAGGTATAATACTAAAATATTAATTATAATCTACAGTTTGATACCAAACTTATTGACATAAGTTCAAGAAATAGTAGTTTAATAAAATATTGAATACGAGTTAACAAAAGCGATGACATGGCCTTTCACCCCTGACCCATCTGGAAAGGGTTAAGCAAATGCAGAATGTAGTGTCATGAGACACTTGTTTAAACCTACAATCCCCCACCTAGACTGTTGTTTGGATTGTGTTTGCCATTGCTGCCACTACTGTGAGCAACACAACAGGTAGGAATAATGCTTACTTAAACTACATACGTGTTTCTGCAGGGCTTTCAATCTATAATGCCAAAGAAAACCTACTATGTTTAGAAGCTAGTGAAAAGCACCACTGGGCTAGATAATTATAAATGTGCAAGTAGTTTCATACCTGTATAATAATAATGAAGATAATCCATTTAGAGATGCTATCTTATCATCAGATTCATTACAAAATTAATATACGATATTACTGTATTTTATCAGATAGTGCAATATTCAATGAGATTGGATATTTGTCACATCCCTACTGCTAACACATAGCAGGGGGTTTTCTTTTCATTGGGTAAGGAGAACTTCCCACATAATCTCAGTCATCTCCCCTGCCACCAGATTTTGTGCAAATTGGAGGGTTTTACTTCTAGATAAATTCTGGTGCAAAAAAGCTACATAACCCTAGAACTACACCATTTCTGACATTCTTGTAAAAACAGCTCACATTTATAGTCATACTTAGCATCAAGTACACAAATGCCCCATGCCACATTAGCCACCATATAAAATCCTGCATATGGTCAGGAAAGAAAAATATTTTTCTGGATTTAGCTCCACCAATCTAGACAACCAACTAATGTTACTAAACTTTCTATGGATAATATAGTAAATTAACTGGATCCCTATATATATTGTAAAATCAACGAGAACCTGCTCAAATATTCATCTGTACTATAGCAAAATAAGTTCCACATTTTAAAACACGAAATGTGTCTGCTTACTTTTTTCCAATCTTTAAAACACAATGAAATTGTGTAGCCAACACATACCATTCTTTTAACAGAAATGATAAAATACAAAAAGGAATGTATAATAACAATGAACTTGGGTTTTGTTTACTTAAGAACATAAATCAAATGATGACTGTTGCAAAGAATAATTCAAGTAGGAGTACCAAGTAATATCCTGGTTTCAATGATGTCACCACTTTTACACACAAACACATGTCCCTAGACATTATCGTATGTGGGTGGCTAAAGACCACAAAAAATTTCCAACATATACTTAGTTTGAAGAGAGAGAAGTTTTTCAGTCACATCTGGATACCAGATTTGTCCTTCAAGACTGCAAGTTACACTTATATTAACATTTTTGTATAAAACTAAAATAGTAGTTTATCAAACCTCAAAAAAAAGATACAAGATATACTGCACTGACAATGCACACATATATTGACTATACTTGTTGGCAATAGCACATATTTGCTTACTAGCATATTAAAAGATTTAGGATGTATTGAATGTAATATACAGAAAGTAAACCTGTTTTAACATACATGTGAACTATGCCACAAATTGTTAGTTGCTCAACGTTCAACACCACAATCACAAACAATGAAAATGAAGCCACATATCTACTTATAAGAGGTAAAATAATATAACCTATGTAAAGAATCTTATACATAAAAAGATGCCTTTTCTATTATAACTAATCTAATAGCAATTCCAGTGAAAATTATTAACTTTTGAAATGTAGAATGGTACAGAAGGGTGGTCACTTGGGTTAGTCATTTTTTTACTATACCTCAGTAAATAAAGTTGGAGATTATAAATTTATATCTATATAGCAGAAGTGGGTTTGTAATTAAAATGGACACTGAAACCTATAAAAGAGGTAGAAAGAAAATCTAAAATGGACAAGTTGGAGTTTAAGGGCATGACATGACAAAGACAAGTTAAGACCAAGAATATATTTGAGTATTTCCTTTTGAAATTAAAAACTAAAAATTAGATAATATAAAAATTTGAATTATAAACTACATTTTCATGCCATAATTTTTGATGTACATTAACAGTAAAATTTTAGTTAAATTTTGAATTTAACTCTTTCAAAGGTCATAACATGCACATTTTAATTTGCAATAAACATAGATATAATGCATGCACTGATAGTGGCATTGCTAGAGATACTACAATTTATAAACAAGGGAGTGTTTTATATATTTCCTGACCTTATTAGTGGCCCAGTACTAAATACAGTTGGATAATTAACTTACCTATGAGCAACAATTACACTAATTAATGCCATGTAAAATAATAAATTAATCAAAATTATGATTAACTCCATTAATGTCAGGAAAATAATCAAATAGTGTTACCAATTATTAGTTATTAATTGTTCCAACTACCCAATAATTGAAATTATTATTAACTCAATTAATATCACAAAAAGAATCAACTAATCCCAATTATTAATATTTTTTATCATTATTCCAACTACCCAATACTTGAAATTATTATTAAATCAATTAATATCACAAAAAGAATCAACTAATCCCAATTATTATTATTTTTTATCATTATTCCAACTATCCAGTAATCAAAATATTTCATTATTGTTTTCAATTTATTCAGAAACACAATTAGCATCACAACTTATTAAAATAACCAAAAAACCAATATTGGGGTTTCCAATTATCACCATCTGTGATTAAAACAAATATCCAAGTGACTGAAAAATTGTCATTAACTTTTGTTGTTGTTGTTAAGCATAAAGTTACATAATGAGTTATCTGTGCTTTTATCCACCATGAGTATCAAAACCAAATTTTTTGCACAAGTTTTCTTTTCAGTCAACATTATTCACTTGAATAATACAATCTACCTCTTTCTATCAAAACTTTATGTTCATATTTTAATTGGTGGTAAATTTCTTGTGGATAATACAAATAATGTGCTAATTTATACAAGTAAATAACATACAAAAATTCATGGAAAACCAAACTACATAAACAATTTTGCACATCCTCTTTTAAGTGAAAATTTGCATCCAACCCCAAGAGCCCCCAAAACCATATTTTATCTCCCATTATGAAAATGTTAAATATATAAACTACATCCTTATTGTGAATTATCCCTTGCATATTCATACAAAATTTTATTGTAAATTCATGATAATAGCTCTGACAGGCTCCAAAACCCTTTTGAACCCCAAAGAAACACCAATTCAATTTTTTTTCTTTTTTTTTTATAAATGTGAATTTCAATTGTTCTTTACGTCACTTTACATATAATTATATTAGTAACAGTTTTATGAAAATCTGTTCAGTCAAATGTATGATCACCAAAATGGCAAAATTCCTTGATCTCAATTCCTGGGGCCCATTAAAGGCTGAATTTTTTTTCGTTTATAATTATAATTTATATTCCATGGGGTCAAAGACTCAAAAGCCTACAAGTACAACAAGCAAATCTTAATATCGTCAAAAACCGAAGGAAAGGTGCAAATTCAAGTAAACATTTATACGTATACAGCCTCAAAAGTAACTTACAATTGACAAGTATTAACTACTAACACTACAAATTGAGTACAAATAACAATGTACTCAATAATTCAGAGACTATATCCACTAATCAAGTATTAATAATTAAGTTTTTAACTTTAAACTTGGTAAAACTAAAATACAGTAGATCTACAAACATTCCACATCTCAAATTCAAAAAATAACTGGTTATCACTAAATATCAGTTCAATTCAAAGTTAAAGCATCTGACATAAAATTTATTTTGTACTCACTTTGATCAAACACGAGCTTTTTTATCGATAAGAATAGAAATGTGGACGGCAAGAATATATAAACTAACCCTAAACTTTATCTATCCGAAATTTCTCACTAGTACTTTCGCTCACTTACACTTATAGGTACAAACCATTCAACCGATCGTCAAAACGCGGCAAAAATGGCTGCCTTTTTTAGGGTGTGGTATCAGCGCATGATCAGTAATATATTACTTTTTACAGAAATGATGAGTGTGTTAAATTAATTAACTTACAGACACCGGTGGGTCAACGGTAAGATTACGGATTTACAACACTAAAATCCGCGGTGAACAAAAAGAGATAAGCCAATGTGACTTTGTCCTGAAACAAACAAACCAACCAATACAGTTTTATTCACTCCAATCATATAAACGCTTCTAGCAACATACTTCGAACATTTTCAATCACGCAATAATTTCCTGTAACTGGTTTAAAATAATTCTACCATACATGTTGAGATTAAGAGAGTTACAATCAATCGCATGACGCTAGTTACTAATTTCATAAGCAAAAATATTTAAATAAGATCACATAACATATTTAAAACAAGAGTCACATTTCGTCCTTCAACATTTCAAGGCACACAGGGGATAGTGAAGAGCAAAATTTAAATCAACTCTTTGTCTTCTGAAAATCATAGATCATTCTCTTAATTGAGCTCTTGTATAGTGCCGGCTTCCATTGCTGCTGAAGGCAACTTATTCAATAAGCCAATTAGCCCACTGGAAAAAAAAATGAATCTAATAAACTTGTTTAACACCGGTTAAAAAAAATGAGTATAATATGTAGGGTTAGCATGGCACCATCAGGCACAACAGCTTTAATATTAGCCTGCACTTTGTGTCACAGTCATTGTGGTAAGTGCACCTTCAGTAGGTCTGCTGGTGCTGCAGGCAAATCAGTCATGACTGGTACAAGGATGTTGTTCTCAATCTTCCAGCCACATTCTGTTGGCTCTAGATCATTTCTCATCCACTGTTGCACTTGTAAAGCTATGGAATTTTGTTGACTAGTGCATCTGCAAGTGTGTGAATAAAGTGCTGCTTATTCTCATTGTAGGCCAGAACAGGTCTTTTGTGGATTGAAGCATCATGTAAGGCACAGAGTGTACTGTCATTCCTCAGAATCCCCTCCCTCATCTGAGATGGGTCATATCCTTTGTTGAAGGGCCGGACATATACTCATCAAAGACGATAACTACAATAGTATACTTTTCATTGACAAATTGGACGTGCGAGTCAATGATGTTCTGAAAAATGCTTCCACGTTTCCATGGTGCCTGCAGTCGCTGCAGTAGGGAGCCTCCATCAAGCACAAACTGCACATCATTGGATGGTGGTAGACTTGAGAGGGTGTCTTGAACAAGTTCCTAAATTTAATCAGCTAGTAATGCTTTATTTGATTGCCAAAGGAAGTCTTGGAAATCAAACAGCAAAGATTGGAAGCTGCAAAGTTCGTATTGGAAGACCTCCTGCTTACCTTTATAAGTCGCGTTAGCTGCTGCCACTAAATGCTGAAAGAGCCACTGTGGGTAGACTGATACGGGGGTCCCATCGACTTTCACTTACTTTTTTGCCTCAAGTGTCATAACTTTTTCCTCATGGTGAGTTCTGCTGCAGTCTGATCTTCCATGCTTTTGATCATTTAAAGGCCGACTTCCTTTGCATTGTAGGCCTTTGCAGATTCATCACCAACAATATCAGTCACAATATTTCTAAGGGTGGGGTCTGTAAAAAATAGTTTTCTTCCATGGAGGTAGGAAAGATAGACATCGTGTCCTCGGTGTCCTATGATGTTCTTTTTGGTCTCATATCTATGTGTTGGTTGCTGATACATCAGCATGCTCCTGTGACTTAATGCATCACATCATTCATTTCAGCACATGCTAGCATGGACAGGAGCCACTTGGCAGACTGTGACTTGGTCATTCCTCTTCCATGTGTTAATCCCCCAGTTGATTTCACATTTTGCATCAGAATCTGCTAAATAGTTAAGTTAGATGAAAGGTCAGCCCAGTATCTGTTGCTACGTCAAACAACGTAGTGTCCATCCTTGAAGCTTTTGTGAACATCAGGATGGGTTTTCTCAAGTTGGTTCATCAGTTACGTGTAGAGATAAGCAGATTTTGTGTAAATGTTGCGTACAAAAGCCAGTTTCCTGTTCTCTCTCTCTGCTTTCAGGAAACGTTTCATTATGTCCACCATTGACATGTACTGAAGCCACAGTTTACTGGTATTACCAGTCAATGCCAGTTTTCTGTCATGCAGCTTCTTGCTGATTTTGCCAAGGCAATCATTGTTCTAGAGATATGTTTGTGACAACTCACCCTGCAATACTTTCCCGTGCAAAGCAGATGCTGATTCTATTTCTGTCCTGGTCTCCACAAGGTTATTCACTACACATTGGACGTCACATGGAAGTTCTCGTTTTGAAACATGTTCCAGCTGAAGTGTGGCACCAAGTTTGAGCTGCTCCAGTTCATTGCTTTGAATGTGATCAATTGGAAATTTTTTCTCCACTGTCTCCTCATTGTCGACTTCCCTCTGTGCCAAGCTCCCATGGGGTGTATCATATGCCACAGGTGAGTTATAACCTCCTTAAACACATGCCTCTGTTTCCATTTCGACACGAGATTGTGCAAAAGGTGAATGGAATGTGTCAGACACCAACAGTGCATTTGAAGCAGCATCAACAAAGAAGTGTCCACGAACATCACAAATAATGGCTTTGCCTTGAAGCATAGCACTAATAGCATTTGGCACATATATTACAGACAACATATCACAGAGGCTTGTTTCGCCCATGAGATGTCCTATACATGCCAGAAAGCCCATTTTCAGATGGGAGAGGCCGAGCTGGAAAACAATGGAGAGCAATTCACTTGTTTCTGGTGCACACATAATGATTCTGAGGACTTTTCAGTACAGAGGCTGGTTGAACATTAAAATGGGGTCATGTGGTTGCATTTGGCCTCAGCACAGACAAAGAGCAAGGTTTAGTAAGTGCAAGTTTTGTCACTTGTATTGATATCAATCATAGGCAAGAACATTATTGTTGATTAATAATGGCTGGAGATAGCTTGAATGGGTAATGAAGAAAAACTTTAATTTTTGTTTGTTTATTTGTTTTGGAATTTCGCGCAAAGCTACACGAGGGCTATCTGCGCTAGCCGTCCCTAATTTAGCAGTGTAAGACTAGAGGGAAGGCAGCTAGTCATCACC